TGCGTGTGCACACACACATATATGTACACACATATATGTATTTATTTTTATGTGTATGAGAGTTTTACCTGTATGTATTCATGTGTGCTGTGTGCATGAAGTACCTGTGGGGGTTAGAAGAAGGTGTCAGATGCCCTTGGACAGGAATTAAGACAGCTGTAAGCAGCCATGTGGGTGCTGGGAATCTAATCTGGGTGGTCCTCTGGAAGAGCAGAAAGTGGTCTTAACCACTGAGCCATTTTCTCTCTCACAGAGCTTGGGTTAGAACACAGCTCTCACACGTGCAAGGCACATGCTCTACCACTGAGTCACATCCCCATCTTGTTTTCTGAAAACAGAGTGCTCACACTTGGAACTGGAGTGGCCATGATAGCAAATGTCCTTAATTCTGTTGTGCAACACCCTTCCCTGACTTTATTCTTCATGCTGGGGACTATTGACTGATGTTTCCAGACTTCCGGACCATCACCTCCATGACCTGTCTTCAATGCCCGCTCTTCTACCATCGACTCTCTGCGCTTCAGCCCTGTGGATCTTCTCTTCTTCCCAGCAACATGCCAGGCTCCCTGGAGTACCGTCCTCAGCACAGTGTGACACATGGATGGTGTCTGCAGGTCCTGGCCAGGTGTCGCTTCCTCAGCAGTAAGGTCTTCCTCAGAGAGGTTTCTGTTCACCCATCTCAGCTCTCCTGACCCTTCAGCTGCTCTGCCTTCTTCATGGCTAACTGTGTGCTTTTAAATCGTCCCACTCCTTCCCTAGGATGAAAATTTCACTAGAAAGGGGTCCTTCCTTTTCCACCTGGGCACTCCTTCACTGAACTCAGACATGGACAGATTCCCAATAAATATTTGTTAAACTTCTGGATGCTTCTTAACAACACAAAACATAGCCAGTTTAGTAAAACTGTGACAGACACAAAGGAGCAGGGCCCCGAGGGGTTGACTAGTCATTGTGGTCCATGCTGTTTAATGCTACCATTTTAACTTCCTAAAAAATGCTGAGTTATAGAGTGGGACAGATGCCAGGCCCAGTAACACAGGGCTCTGACACCAAGGCACTTACTGTGGGAACAGAGACTTCAGCCAATGTCTAAAGAACAAGATAAGTACCTGAGACTTCTCAAGAGGAGAGCTGTGTTCTGGCTCCCAGCTGCTGCAGGAGTGTGGCCAGTTGGCTCTGTGGTTTTGGAGCCTCTGATGGGGCAGCGCATCATGCCGGGGAGTGCAGGGGCAAAGCAAGAGAGGCCGAGGCTGTCACTTCCTTAAAGGGTACACAATGATCTGAAGTCCTTCCTCTGGGTCCCACCTCCCAAAGGTGCCACCACATTCCCACCATGGTGCCAGGGGGAGGGTGGAACTTACATCAGAGGAGACACTGAAGATGTAAGTCATAACACAAGACCAAACATGAGATGAAAATCACTTTTCTGAGTGACATGCAGATTCCATGCAGGGACATGGAAGATGATGGCTGATTCTGACTGATCAAGGGACACTTCCTGGAAGAGGGATCTCAGAGCTGAGTTTGGACCCCAGGAGGACTCAGGAAGACTGAGGAAAAGTGGAGGGCTGTCACAGGCTTGGGGCACATCACATCTAAATGGAAGTCTATGTGGAAGGCTAGGCTGGATGAGTGCTGTGTGGGTCCACAGTTGCTGGGATGTAACCCAAGGCCATCATGTGCAGATATGCTTGTGAAAGAAGGAGGATAGTTGGAATTGGCAGAGGGAAAGCCTTGAGGCCCCTTCTGGGAACTCTGAACTCCATACCGTAGATAATAGGAAACTTTTGGTTTACGGAAGGAACTGCCGGAGCAGCCATGTTTTCTGATAACGAGTGGGCTTCCACTAGGGAAGGGAGAGGCTTGAACAGGATCCAGGTAAGAAGTGATGAGGGGCTACATGGGAGGGATGTTGGTGAGGGCTAAGGGCCAGCATACTCAGCTGGGACCAAGGAGAGGGGGTAGAAAGACATGGAGGCCACAGTAGGTAGCATCTGGGAGAAGCTGGAGACAGAAATCACCCTTGGAAGAAGACCTGTGACTATGGGGGCTGTTGAGTTGCTCAGCTGGTAAAGTGCTGGCCTTTTGAGCACAAGAGTATGAGTTTACACACAGATCCCAAGTGAAAACATAGCTGGGCATCATGGCATGCACTTGCAATGCCCAGGCTGGGAGGTGGAATGAGGCAGATCTGTAGGGCTCTCTAGTCAGCCAGCCTAGCCTGACTGAAGAGTTCTAGATCCTGGTGAGAGATCCTGCCTAAAATATCAATGTGAGTGGTACCTGAAGAATGACATCCATGGTTATCCTCTGACAGACAGACAGGCAGGCAGGCAGATCTCTCTCTCTCTCTCTCTCTCTCTCTCTCTCTCTCTCTCTCTCTCTCTCACACACACACACACACACACACACACATCATGACTAACAAGATGACAGATAACAGAGTTCAAACTATTTTAAATATCCCCAAAGAATACCACTGTAAGGGACCCCAAACATGGATAAGGCCTTTAAGAGTCCAAATAGAAACTTGTGACAGGAATATTTGGAATTGTTCTTTGCTTTTATAACCATACATCCCAGAGGTCAGGAATGTCCTGTCATGAGTGCCTCAGAAACTTGCCAAGCCTAATGATGCTACTCCTTATTATCTTTCAGCTAGTTCCAGAGAGATCTGAAGCAAGAACCTGCCCAACTGACCTATGGGAGGGCCAATAGAGAAAGGTTTAAAAAAATTCATAATTTAGCAAGGCAAACAAGCATGGAAACAAAGCTTGGCCTCCAGGTCCAGAAAGTTTTCTGAGGATACTCCTAGGGAGTAACATCACCTATAACAACAATAAGCCCATTTTTTCAAAAAAGGTTGGGAATCAGCTTTACTACCTAAGTGTGGGGAGCTTCGGATCCCTAACTCCCATGCAAGAGCCAGGCATGGCTGAGTGTGTCTGGAAGCCCAGTAATGGAAGGCAAGAGATGGGCTGACCCTGGGTGCTCAGTGGCCAGCCAGTCTAGCTGAAAAAGGGAGCCCCACATTCAGTAAGAGGCTCTGACTAAAAAAAAAAAAAAGAAAAGAAAAAGGGTGGAGAGTAGTTGATGCTAGGTTTCCATGTGCACAGGAGTCAGCACACACCCATACCTACATATGCACATACACCAAAACAAGTGTACATATGCCTTGCATACACAGAGAGAGGTGGTGTGTGTGTGTGTGTGTGTGTGTGTGTGTGTGTGGTCTCAGCAAAAACCGTCCATAGAACCCCCAGGAAATCCTCTTGAGGGCTAAGGCAGGAGGAGAAGGAATATACAGTATCTCGCCATCCGTTTCCCCACTTCCAGATACTCGGAACTTGTGTTTCATTACTTAGCTTCCATCTGACTCCTCCTGGGGTCACCCTGGATGGTTGCAACTGCTTGGGGGCTCTTCCAAAACGCAGCTTTGCTCAGTAATTGCTTTTTATGTTGGGATGGGGGAGGCAGCATCTGACCCGAGCTGTCATTTTCTCAGAAACAGGTTAAAGTTAAGCACATGATTAAGAGAGGGAAAAAAAGGAATCTTAATTACCAACAAGAGAAAGAAAGAAGTTTAAAATCCGCTGGACCTCTTGATAATGCTAAGGTAAAGTGAGGGTAACAGTTGACATCTCACAGGGGAGTTAGAGGCAGAAAGTAATGAAATATGACCGGGAGTGTTTTAGATTTATGAAGACCTAATTAAATCTAAGGCTCAGTCATAAAAACCTAAGATTATGCACACTGTTCCTCCAGCCCCATGGTTCAAAGCCATGATGCCACTCACCCCCTGGCATCACAGCTCAATGCGGACACAATTAGCATTTGGCCAACAGCATCTAAAAGATGCCCTCGTGCTAGATGTGACCTTTTATTTTTGTAGGTGCTGGGGAGGGGACCCAGGGCCGTGTATGCCAGGCAAATACTCAACCGCGGAGCTAAGTTGTCTAAAGAGTCTGGCTAACAGCAGCTGGGCTGGGGATGTGGCTTGGCAGGTAGGGGCTTACTTAGCCTGTAGGGAGCCCCGGGTTCCCTCTCCCAGCACTGTATAAATAGGACATAGCAGTGCAAGCCTGTAATCCCAGCTCTCTGGAGGTAGAGATAGGAGATTCAGGCTAGAGAGTTCAAAGCCGGCCTGTTAAAAACAAACAAACAAAAAACCTGTTTTCATATAGATAAAACACCCACCTGTTGCCCCAGCCCTGGATAGCCAGAGGCAGGAGGATCACCCCTTTAGGTTCATCCCTGGCTATAGAGACTGTCTCGAAAAAATCCTGGACTAGAGAGATTGTGCCTCAAAAAAAAAAAAAAATAGGTTCCCCTCCCCCAAATTCATTATAAGGAAAATTAAAACACCTTCGGGGGGTGTGACCTTATAATTAGGTGTTTTTGGTTTTTGAAAAGGTGTTTATCACGGGTCAATGTCCTTCTGGTCCTGGGTGAATGTAGACTCCTTCTCTAGAACCGTCTTCAGGGACAAGGGGCATCTGGTAGACTAGAGATCAGTGATCTTGACAGGCAGGGTGAGTCCTCCACAGCTTTTCAAATAGCCCTTGTCCTCTCTGCTACCCCCATGCCTCCTTCCGTCTCAGGGTCAGCCTGCCTGCTACTCCATCCTACCACAGAGGTGCCGCCTGCCATTGTTTTATAAGCCCTTAATGTGCCAGGCACTGCCCCACGACTTGTTTATCAAATTATGTTACTAAGTGCTCATCACTGCCCTAAAGAGACAGTGCTAACTAGCAGGTACTGTTTTGCAGGTAAATAAACTGAGGCCCAGAGGCCCATCCACTACAAGTTCCTTAGGTGAGGAGTAGATACAGGGATCCATGTATCCCACAGGGGCCAAGGGATGTCTGACTCCATCACTCATGTCTCAACCACCGCAGCCCCAGAGGGCTGGGCAGAGTCCATGACCTGAAGCAATAGGTACAGAGTCCCCAGTGATCTGAACCGTGTGTGGTTTCACAACCAGGATATTCTGCAATGCCTCAGGAGGGCAAAGGAGAAGCTGCCTCATCGACTCCCAGGCAATGGGGTGCGTGACACAGCATTGAAGTTCTTACACCGGGAATTATGAGACACGGATCCGGGACTGAGATCTACTGCCAGCTATCTGTGTGACCCTGAACCCTTGCCTCCGCCTCCCTACAATGCAAATCACAGCGACTACGGCCACACTTGTTGTTCATCACAGGCAAGGGGTTTTAAAGGTGTGCCACTGACGCTTAAGCACAACTCCGAGGTAGGAATAGACTCCTCTGATTCTCAGAGATGAGGAAGACAGCCCTGATACCTTGCTCACAACCATGCAGGCTCAGCTTCACCCAGAGCTTGAATCAGCTCTGGCTGACTCTTAACCTCCATGTATAGCACCCAGCATTGGTGTTGGGACAAGCCCTGCTCACGCCATCATCCCAGTGGCTCCTTGTGAGTATGACTCACACACCTGGTCTACCACACACCTCAGAGGTACCTTTTTAATTACAAAAAAATCATTTTAATTGGAATCTCAGTTTGCCACTGTAACTGGGAAATCCAAATCCTTTGTCACAAAGAGAGAGTGTCACAGTCTCTCCCTCCCCACGTGATGTTAAAGAAAGCTTTGAATTGATTCTGGCTCGGTACCTGTGGGAGGCTCTGCATGGGCCTGCTGTCTGTAAAATTAAACCAAAAAGCCAAAGAGCAGGGCTGATGTCTACGAACTCGACATTCTAGATGGCTGGGCTGAACTAGCACGTTGGAAACAGAGAGCACAGAGAAGACCATGCCCCTGCCATCTAGGTTGGTGCTACTCACAACCATATCCCAGAGACGTCACTTGTCACCCTCAGCAGGTATTAGTCATCCTCAACTGCCACTTATTACTCTCAGCCACCAGCTATTACCCTCAACTGTCACCTTCAGCCTCTGTCACCCTCCGCTGGCTGCCACCTGTTACCCTCAGCCGGCTCCAGTCATAAACCCGGTCAAAGTGCGTTTAGGACTGCCCTGCCATCCCAGAAGAGGCCCCGATCCACTCACAGAGGCAGACGACAGCGGTAGCCTGTAGATGCACAGAGGAGAGCCGACTCAGCCAGCCTCTGGTGCCTCGCTGCCCCGGCTCTGGAGCAAAAGCTGTCAAACTGGCTCGGGAAGCCACTTCCGGGTTTGTCTAGGAAGCCTGGAGGTCCTGGCATCTCTATGATGAGCCTGTGGTTTGTTAATCTTCACCTGTGCTGCGGCAGCTCACTTTGTTTATCTCCCCCAATTTCACAGCCAGTGTGCTTCAGAGTCCCTCTAGACTCCTCTTCCTACCTCCAGCTTCTGCTTCCGGGCTTCCGTCTCTTCGTGTAACCCCACTAATGAGTGCAGACCTGATGAAAGAAGGGATTCAGCTTAGTCTGTTTCTTCGGATGGATGGTGGGTAGACGAAAAGATGGGTGGGCAGGTGAATAGACAGATGTGTGAATGTATGGATAAGGGCGTGGATTGATAGGTGGATGGGTGGGTGGATAAATGGGTATGTGCACGGGTGGGTGTGTGGATGGGTGGGTGTGTAGATGGGTGGGTGTGTGGATGCCTGGGTGTGTGGATGGGTGGGTATGTGGATGAGTGAATGGGTGTGTGGGTGGATAGAAAGATAGGTGGGTGGATGGGTGTGTAGGTAAATAGGGGCATGGGTGAGTGGGTGGGTTGGTGGAGAGGTGGGTGTATGGCTAGATGGGCAGGTGAATAGATGGGTGTGTAAATGGGTGGATGGATGTGTGGGTGGATGGTTTGATGGACACCTGGGTAGAGAATGGATGGGTGATGGATGAAGGTCTGTAAGGAAGGGAACATTCACTCTCCAAGTATCTTTAAAGATATTTTAGTTTATGTGCATGAATGTTTTGCCTTCATGTTTGTGCACCACATGCATATCTGGTCCCTGAGGAGGTCAGAAGAGGACATCAGAACTGAAGTTACTGGCAGTTGTGAGCCACCTTGTAGGTTCTGCAAACAGACCCCAGGTCCTCTGCAAGAGTAATAAGTACTGCTAAGCCATCTCTCCAGCCCCTGCTCAAAACCTTGTTTTCTCTGAGCTTTGGTATCTATGTGTGCACATGTTTTGCTTTGTCCCTGATTTTCTATTTTTTCAGCTCCACATACTATGACCATCGACTGTGTACCGAGCCAGGACAATCCTTTGTTCCTGAAGGACTTAGAAGCCACATGGAGAGGAAGTTAGTGTCCTTCCTGTTAGGAACACCTGATGCCTTTTTATTAGAGCTGTGGGTTTATGGAAAGCTGCAAGTCTGTGTACATATCCCACAGAGGCATGTGCCTTTTATGGGACCCTGGGCCAGAGGGTTTCATTTTGGTAACTGGAAGGTTGGAGGTTTTGACTTCACGTGCTTTTCTTGTCAACAGAACTGGTCCCACATGAATTATGTCATCCACTGCTCATTTTTCCTTAAGAATGTGCATAAAGACACAAGGGTGAACTCAAGCCCCAGGACACGAAAATGAATGGAGGTGGATGGAGAAAGTGAAGATGCTGATGTGACCCTGGCTTTCCTGGCTGGTCTTAGCTGCAACTGGCTATAAGCCTCAGGAGATGGATGTAGTGATATTGTGTTCCCCAAAATATTGTGCACCCTAATAAACTTATCTGGGGTCAGAGAACAGAACAGCCACTAGACAGATATAGAGGCCAGAAAATGGTGGCACACACACCTTTAATCCTATCACTTGGGAGGCAGAGATCCATCCGGATCTCTGAGTTCAAAGCCACACTGAAAACAGCCATGCATGGTGACTCACACCTTTAATCCCAGGAAGTGAAGATAAGGAAGCAGAAAGGTTTATAAGTCCTGAAAACCAGGAACTAGAAGCTTTTAGCCTAGTTAAGCTTTTAGGCTTTTAGCATCAGTTCCTCTGAGATTGATTCCGAATGAGGACACAGAGGCTTCCACTTTGAGGAAACAGTATCAGCCGAGGAACTGGCAAGGTGAGGTGGCTGTGGCTTGTTCTGCTTCTCTGATCTTCCAGCATTCACTCCAATACCTGGTTCTGGATTTGTTTTTATTAAGATCTTTGAAGATTCGTGCTACAGATGGAGACAGGGTTGTACTCAGTGGTCTGCAGGGACAACTTTTCTGTGGCTCCTTGGGATATAAAAAATAGAAGATGAAGGATGCTTGGGGCTGGGAGCCCAGCTATGTGCTTTTGAGACCAGCAGCCATGGAAGAGAGGCCCCCTGGGAACGCAGTATAGAAGATTGTTTTCCTGTGAGCAATCCCAGGATCCTCCAGGGGACGCCCACATTTCCTGTGTGGATAAACATGAAAAGTGTTATATTAAATGTTAATATTCTTCTGTCCCTGAGGACTCTTAAAATATAAACATTTACATCTGAAAGGAAAATTATGAACTTTATAATTACTCCCTGAGTTCTCACTGCTCGTTAGTAGATTTTAGCCTGAATAAGAAATCTAAGCTAGAAATGACCAGAGAAAGAAATTGGCCTTATGTGAGTTCACATGTCAACAGTCACTTTGTTTTGTTTTTCTCATTAATACATCTAGATGGTGGTGCATTTCAGAAAGATCACATTTTTGGCAGGCTTCCTTAGAGCTTTGCATCATTTTATATATTGAGAACCATGTTCACACCTATTAGCTCATCAAATTCTCACAAACTCTCATGTTAAAGTTCTGGGGTAGTGAATAGGAGGAGGCAAACCCAAGGGAACATCCTAAGTCTAGTAGGGGAATATTGAGGATTCCAGAAAGGGTTGAACAACTGTATGTGTTCGGTTGGCATTGCTAGCTTCTGTAATATCCCTGAAACCTAGCGGCTTTGTGCAATAAAGATGTGTTTCTTCCTCTCATCTCCATCAGATTCAGCCTGTAGGGAAGCAGAGTGCTCATGTGCTGTGGACTCACTCAAGGACTCAAGCTTTCTCCACCCACTATGCTGTCCTTTTCAACACGTGGCCTCCAAAGTCACCGTAGAAGGGGCTTTCCCCAATAATCCTCCTTAAAAATCTCAAAATTCTTCAATCCCTTCCCTGCTCTTAGCCCCTTTTTAAGATTTGTGAAATGATCAAATGCCACATTTCTAGTTGTCAGTGTTCAAATCCCCAAGCAGGTGAGATGTTCTTCCGACCCAGCGTGGGTCAGAAACCCTCTACTATAATCTGCCGTGGCAAGGTGGTGGTGCTGGCAGAGGAGGCAGGGTGGCCAACGTGAGCCGTTTGTGACCCATCACTGTGAGCTGGCCCAGTTACTCAAGAAATGATTGTGAGGACTGGAGAGATGCATCGGTAGGTAAGAGCGTGTGATGCACAGGCTTGGGCACCTGGATTTGATTCCTGGGAGGGAGAACAGACTCATGAAAGCTGTCTTCTGTGTGTCCACATATGTTCCATGATACATGTGCACTTGCACCCATGTAACTAAAAAAGATGTTAAAAAATATAAAAGGGATTTGGGGGTGTCGATCATTGTAGGCATGATCGACACCCCCAAATCTCACTTTTCTAAAGTTTGGAGCAAAATACTATCAGCACCATGCGGAAGTTGGGCCTGGGCTGTGACTGACTCTAGACCTGATAAACCTTAGTGAAATCTCCAAGTAATTCCTAGCCACAGTTCAGGTTGGAAAGCACTGACTGCCCTGGCAGTGCTGTGACCTAGTATCACAGCAACTCGACTCTCGGAGCTGGGGAGTGAGGGATCGGTGGGTACATCATTTACTCTGCAAATCTGAGTGTGAATCCTCAGCAGCCATGTAAAAGGCTGACATGGCTGTGCTTGTCACAATCCTAACATTGGCGTGGGAGGTGGGGGGGGCGCAGAGACCCGTGAACCCCAAGAGCTCGCTGGACAGACTGCTGAGCCAAAAGGCGGAGTTTCTGTTTCAGTGAGAGACCCTGTCTCAAGTCAGCAAGTATGTATCCATCCATAGACTCACGTGCATGCACTATACACACAAGCTCGCATGAACACACCCGAGTGCATGTACACACACACACACACACACACCTTAAAAATAGTCACCATCCCACACACCCCTTGGAAATCAATCAAGTTAAGTGGCTTGGCCAGACATAGAAATCCTGAATGGCAGGGCTGGGATTGAAAGCCGCAGTCTCGGTCCCAGCTCCCTGCGTTTGGCATCTTGTACTCTCTGCTGCTCTCTCTCAGAGGAATGTGTTTCCTCACACAAACAAGGAAAAAATTAAAAGATGGGAAACAAATAGACAAAAGTCAAGCAACATTTAAATGGTGGTTAACAATTTCAAGAATTAATTTGTTTTAGGAAAGGAAATAAGCATTTATTACTTACAGTGCATTGATAAAATGATTTCCCCACTACATATTAAAGAACTCTCTGAGTAACTTAATGAATGTTTATATTTCATTTATTCAGCAATTAAGCATCTTCACATTCTTTTATGAGCATTTATAGCACTTATTAAGAATTATCAAGCATCCTATCTGGGTCAATGGTTTTTCTTTTTCCTTTAAAAAAACTTTGCAATATCTTATTAAAACGGTTGCCTTTCTCAGTACAAATTAAATGACGTATTTAAATAGTGCTGATTAAAACTTCATGTTATAAGATTAGCTCAGCTCTCAGTACCCCGCCAGAGAAATCTCTTTTTGCAGTGGATGACATTTAGTGCAGAGAATACGCATGGTATTTAATACCATTAATATACAAATGGACAGTTATTACAAATGGTCAAAGCACAGAGCAAGCAGTGTGGAGTGCTTGACCCTAAATGAGGACAGCTACATCACCCCTCAATCAAGACACAGGGAACATCACATGAGGGGCGGGGCCAGAGAGATGGGAAGAGGCGGAGGCTGGGGAGGACTGCAGGAAAACAGTGTCTTCCGGACGTGACTCACAAACTCACTGCACTTGTACAGCCGTGGTAACCCGAAGAAGACCCACACAGGACCAGGACCATCAACATTTCAGTGTGGAAAGGGGTGGGGCTTATGAGGGCCCACCCCTCCTGGAGGAACTATGGGTAGTTCCCGGTGGCTGGGGGAAGTCACTTCGGTCAGTGAAGCATTGACACGGTGCCTGTGCTCTACACTCCAGTAAATAACCACCCTGAGGCTGGTGCAAGCAGCCCTATTTAAACACCGTACACACACACACACACACACACACACACACACACACACACACACACACACAAACACACAGACACATACGCACATACACATACACACATACACACACATACACACACATACACACACATACATATACATACACACATACACACACACATACACACACATACATACACACACACATACACACAGACACATACACACACATACACACAGACACACAGACACATATACACACACACACATACACACACACAAACACACATACTAACACACACACACACACACACACACACACACACACACACACACACGGAGCTGTTGAAAAGAAGGGTTTCATTGGGAGAAGGGTGGGAATTAAGACAAGATAATGGAGTGAGAAGGACTAAAATGCATTATATTCATATATGAAAATGTCAAAAAGAAAACAGGAAACGTATCATCATCATCATCATCATCATCATCATCATCATCATCATCCCGAGTTTCCTGGCCAAGAGATGCCCCATGTCCTTTCAGTGATTGGTTGAGATGGTAACATGACCTATCACTATCCAATTGGTACCTTTCCCTAAGAAATAAGGCCACTCAAGTTGTTGAAGCTCACGCCTGCCACTTCACTCTTTAGTGCTTTCAGGAACCGAGGAGCACAGGTACCAGCCATGGTAGTCATTTTTTAATTGAAAATCACACAAATTCATCCTATTACCGGCAAATCAAAGTTAAACATTTTAGGCGCCTGTGACTGGAAACTCAGAAGGTGGATTTAGCGATCTTTCAGCTCATTTTGCTAATGTTTGGATGGCCTCTTTACTGTGGCAAAAAAGATGAAATTTTGTTGGCAGCTGAAGCCAGAAGCTGTTTCCTAGACTCTTTAGAAGGGGAGGTTTTTGTTTTACTGACAGTCTCAGGGAAGACTCTGGTTGGCTAGCCACGGATTGTGGTGGCCTCTTACTCAGTATAGCTGGAAGGCATCTGCTGATTAGTTGGAACTGGATTATTAGTCCTATCTGTGTCTGCTGTTACAAATTAATGTTAAGTCTGGCACCTTTAAGCCCTAACTCTACTCTCTTATAGCTCCAGAGGCCACAGGTGGAAGTCATTCTCACCTGACTAGTCTAGGTGTTGATGTGCCTGCCTGTGGAGGAGCTTCAGGAGAATTTTCTTTCTTATCTATTCTAATTTCGAGAGCTGTGTTCTTTAAATTCAGTGTGTGTGTGTGTGTGTGTGTGTGTGTGTGTGTGTGTGTGTGTGTGTGTGTGTGTGTAGATAAGAAGACAGCTTTTAGGATTTGTTCTCTCTTTCCACCATCGTATCGGTCCTGGACCTATAACTCAGGTGGTCAGGTTTAGTGGCAAGCACTTTTCCAGCTGAGCCATCTTGTCAACCCTAGAGCTTATTCTTTGCATCTCTTGACCCATCATGGCCCTTCCACTTCCAATCAGCATAGAAGCTGAAATTCTTCTATTATCACACGACATGCCCTTTCTCTCTTCTGAGTTTAATCTTTTTTTGTTCACTCTCTTTTTTATATTTGTGAGTATATTTAGGGACCATATTGATAACCCTCACTAGTCACCTCTTCACGA